AGATCGCTTGACAAAACTTGCGAAACTGTCGACTGACATGGTTAAATCCCGTGGAGACGATGTGAAATGTGGTGTGGTCATGTACAATCTCCCCGTATCGGGAACAAGACGATGTGAAATGTGGTGTGGTCATGTACAATCTCCTCGTATCGCGATATGGCTGAAATATTGCCGAAGTGACGTTAAATTTTAACTCAATCACCCACTCACTCTCCCCGTATCGGGAACAAAATGATGAGAATGTGCTCTGCAAACGTGTAAACCAAGTCCTCAGAGACCCACTCAAGTTGAGCGAGGTACGAACGGGGGCGTCCCGCCAGGCAGACATTTGAACCAAATAGCATGCAGAGAGGTGCGCCAGGCCGACTTGCAGGTGTCCTTTGAAGTAATTAACGACAACTAGCATTGTTTTGACAGTACGGGGTTCGTCTCAGCTCATGACGAGTTCACCACTTTAGTGAGTTCTAACTCATAGCTTAATTAAAGGTCACATGCAACCAAAATATCAAACATAATTAAAACACAATTATCACCTATTCATGACATATAATATACATTGCTGATTATGAAAAAACATAAACAAAATTATAAGCGTACAATCGCAAATCAAAAGTGCAATATTTTGTACTTGGGTTTACTTAACTCGAAACGAAGCACCGGGGATACCGAAACTAGTCAGGGCGGCTGGGTGTGCACTCAAGTGTAACGAAGTCTTTCATTGTCTGGTTCAGTTGCTGATGCCCTCACGGCTCATTGTGTGTTTGTATAATGTATATAGAAATGTTGGGTTTTGTAAATACATACTCATTTTTTATGTTAACATTGTGCAATCAACAGGCATCATAACATGTCATGGACCGCCTCCGTGGTGTAGTGGTTAGAGCGTCCGCCCGGAGTGCGGAAGGTCGCGGGTTCGATCCCCGACCGCGTCATACCAAAAGACGTTAAAATATGGTACTTGTTGGTCCCTGCCTGGCGCTCGGCATTAATGGATACAACAAGGACTGGTCGGCTCGGAGTCAGTATAATGTGTCTGAGTGGGGTATTCATGCTTCACTGCGGCATGGTATCTCAGTGGGCTAGCACTATAAAACCAGCTACAGTCTGGGCTAGTACAAGCAGCCGCACATACACACATACACACGCATGCACGTCGTCATGTGAGCGAAATATTCTCAAGCACGACGTTAAACCCAATTCCACCACCACCACCACAACATGTCATGTGTACAAGTATCACACCTGCCTGTCTGTGTAGTTACATAATGTGACAGAGACCGAACTCGGGCCATAAATCAATGCGTTTTGTTTATGGTGTATAGCCTAATAGGTGTTAAGTTCAAATTGCATGTGGTCAGTGATCGAAGTTGTGTATTGAATATTGTCATTAGCAGACAGGCAGGCAGACACATAGGTTTCAATAAAACAGACTTTGGGTTTTGTCTGTGACAACGACATATCTATATCACAGTCAGACATTCTGTCAACGCTAAATAATGAAGTTGCTTTTAAGTATCGAACTGAGAAAGTGACTCGGTAAGAAGAACGTGTGGTGAAATAGACAAATGAAATTATATAAACAGTTAAATCGGTAATCTACTGTCATAACATATAAACAGCTCGCGCCTGTGAAATATCAACAGAACATTAGAAAAATAGCTCACATCAAAGCCTTCACCGAGTAATCACCGCCAGCGAAGTTTTTTCGTCTTGAAATGTCGAACGCTTCACTGGTTGACACATAGCTGAGTAGATCTAGATCCTAACAAGGTTCCTTTATGTAATGAGTAGATTATTTACTATTTGTTTTGATTAGACTACTCCTGTTCACGACCTTATATTAAATCCGGACATCCGGCTTCCAAGCTGCGCGAACTTATTTCACTGCGCATGCGCTATGAGCGCAGCCCAGCGCAGCGCAGCACAGGCAACACTATTAATCCATAACCACTTAGCCTTGCAGTTATTACTGGTACACAGTAATGTTTTTACCCTGCTTAGTAAATGTCTGTTTTTATATAAAGTATGGAAACTGTGACCCAATACTATTAACCCAAAGCACTTGGCCCTTCGGTTGTCACTGGTACACAGTAGGGCTCATCATATGAAACCAACGGTTTATAAATGCATTTTGTTGTCCATATAATATAACATTTGTAACAAATTTGCATACCTGTGCCTGCTCTGCAGCTATATTCTCACTCAATTGTTTATGTTGTCACCAGGAAAGTATGTATCATGGGCACAAGGCCTCTTTATTGAATAAATCTGTCTGTCTGTCTGTCTTGAAAGAAGTCAGCTTAAAAGCTAAATATGTACTACTCCAAGGAAAATAAAGAATATCCAATGAATATATGGCGATGAATAATCTGTCACGGTCGGTGAGCACTAGACTAACATCTAGTCTCTGAAATGAACATATTTCACAGATAAAAACAGCTCCTAAATTATAATCATAAATTTATAATAAACAGCCCAGAGACTTTCTTCATTTTCAGAAACTATCTAGACTTGCCACATGTTCTAGACTTGCATGGGCTCTCTTGGATATATTATTTGTTTCAGGGTCTGTATGACAGACTAGGCGAGCATTGCAACACACACTATACAAATGGTGGGTAAAACCAAACATATGGCGAGACATCCTTTTGTCAGTGGCGACACAGGTAACGTTGATAACAATATGAAGTAGATTGCTATGATTATGTACGACGTATAAGTATAATTATATTTATCTAACGTGTGTATGAAAGCTGATGCGGATGTGCTGTTTCCCTGTCTCCCTCTATCAGACTGTATGTGTGTGTGTTTGTATGATGTCTGTCTGTCTGTTCGAATCAATGTCTGTCCGTCTATATGCATATTTAAATCTTAAATACGTCATATCAGAATGCCGAAGTTATAACAACCGGACTAAGACAGAATAGTAGACAGAGAACAGTTACATAACGGTATGCTTTTTCCATCGTGGTCACCACGAGAAGTTTTATGTACATGTTGAAAACCTGTCATTGCATAAATACAGGTGTGCTAAAGTTATTTGTGTATATATGTCATTGATCTACCTATGTTTTACGTATTTGAAACTTAAACATTCCCTCGAATAACATTGGAATTCTCCCCACAACCACCACGCACACAGGAAAAGGAGAACAGACTATGTTTATTATCAATTCATACTAAAGCCATGTTGAATGTAAATACCTTATATGGAAACCGAAACTAGGACACGTGTTTTCCCAGAAGCGAAAGTGACAGGTTTTCTATCGAACAACGGTCGATATACAGCCAACTCAGGGCAGTTGGTTTTCAAACTTGACTTGACTTGTGTTTGTTCACGGAAGACGAGGCGATACGATGGGGACACAAGAAGAGGAATCGCCATTACGCACCACTCACACCCTCGCCAGACGATACCGGTAAGACTTGGAAACGAGTCGATGCACTTATTGCTGGAACCAAGCAAAACGATTCTGCCTGTTGGTACTTTGGACCCGGAAAAATCATACCTTTACATATTATTACCCTGTATTTTAATATTACTTCGTTATATTTTGTGTTTTAAACAACATGTGAAGTTTAATTATTCTAGCCGTAAACAACAAATACCCGGATGTCCTTTGGTAATTTAACGCAATCTTGTGAGCATGACATGTCTGTCCACTTTGTCAAGGCGTACATATCGACAAGGGGAACTATCTCAGAACTATACGTTGATGAAGACGAAGGAATATGTTGAGTCAAAACTCTTTTACTCGACTATACAATATTATAATGAACTGATTACATAAAGAAATAATGATTACAACTTTATGATGATGATTCGACAAGTCCACAGAGAGAGATAGATAGATAGACAACCATGGATAGACTAAGAGCAAACTAAGGGCAGATAAAGAAACAATAACATTGCCCTGGACTAATTAATGTCATCACGACATACACAGCCTACGGGGATAACCAAATAAGGGTATAAAAGTCATTATAATGTTGGTAGCACAATGTGAAGTGATCTAAATTGCCCTTACGAGATGAAACTCGAGCAGTCGAAAAGTCATAATCTTTAAAAGATAATACCATGTCAAAATAGAGTAATAAAGTTACTCTGTGACAACTTACATATGTCATACAGTGATGTACAGTCATGTCCGCAACACGGCAATTGTATGAAAATGTGGGTACGGAGTGCAGTTCAGCTGTCAACAAAGCATAACTGAGTTTACTTTATCACACTTTTCACAGTGACAATGTGTCTTCTGATAATATATTTTATTTTACGCTTCAGTTTGTTTCAGTTTCAATGAACATACACACCAGTCAATTAACCATTCATCAATTTATTACGTTCGTTATTATATTTTTGGTCGGTTTTGTGTGTTTGAGTCGGGAACATTGACCCTTTAGAGTTAGTTATAGACAGTTCTTCAGCTCAAGGATTTGAGTATTAACATACCATGGTGGTGGATATCAGCATTCCTTTTTGTCAACATATTGACTGACTTGTATGTGTTGTCATATCTGTTACTGGAAATCCTCTGGCACATGAAAAGGGGCATGGCTTTTCGCGAACATTTGCAATTATAGTAAAGTTAAAGTGAAATACTTTTGCGTTGAAGTACATCTATATGTTCTTGATTTAATTCCCAACAGCAAAGTGAAAATATGCAATGAACGAAATAGAATTATGTATCAATATGTATCAGATTTATCCACAGCAAAATGTTAATAATTTCTCTGTTTAAAAGGATCAATAGCGATGACTATTACTGAAAACTAAGAGACGTTGTTTCGCTCGTTACCCGAACCAACTCCAGTTAGATTCCACCACCAGATCATACCCTACATTGTGCGTGACTATATGTACTATAGGGGACGCGATAAAGCGTAATCACGTGAACTCGATATTTCCTTGTCGCGACAGCTCTATAACCTACTTCTCTCATGTGATTTCCTGGAATGATATCGCCTACCTCCATGCCTCCTGCGATAATATACACAAAGCACCCCCCTTACCTATGTCACGATTGAACCTTAACGCTTGGGAGCATAACTGGGACGAGATTGGTCGTGGTGTGCAACAATGGATTCTCCTGGTCGCATTGGAAGCTGCTTTACACGAGGAATGGCCTAAACTGCCCCTTCAGGAGATCGGGAAGCTGACAGGAGGTATGAGGAGGAGAGTGCGGGCTGTCTTACAGTCACATGGAGGTTGCACTCGGTATTGAGCTTGAATCGTGTAAGACAGGCAAAAATGACATTTTTAATGTTCACATTCACTAATAAATTCAACATTAAACTTTCTAGGGTCATACTTGTGCAGACATGGTTTTGTATGAAAATCAGTGTTATCAGAAGATATCGCTATTACGCACCTCTCACACTCTCGCCAAAAGATACCGGCAAGACTTGGAGACTAAATAGATGCACATATTGCTGGAAAAACGATTCTGCCTGTTGGTATTTTGGACCCGTTAAATCATACTCTTACATATTATTTCTTCCGACCTGTATTAAACATATTATTGCGTTTTATTGTATGTTTTATATATGTGAAATTCTAGCCGTATACAACAAATACCCGGGTATCCTATGTCAAAGCAGTCTTCTGCACATGATTTGTCTGTTTTCTTTGTCAACGTGTTAACTGGGAACTAGCTCCCAACTATACGTTGATGAAGACGACTCGGTTATACATTGGACAGATTAGATGATCACATTAAGAAATAAGTGGAGTCGATTATAACCTTACTGTTATGGGACAAGTCCAGCAAGCACGGGTAGCCTACTTGCAATCGTGCTACAGATGGAGTCGGAAAACCAGACTCTCTGACAGTATAGATATGAACATATCAAACCATGGTAGACTAAGTCAAAGAGACAACAATAGACAGATAACGAAACAATAACATTGCCTTGGATTAATTGATCAATGTCATGCCAGACACAGCCTAGGGGATGACCGAATAAGGATATTAAAGTCATTATAAAGTTGGGCTTTAAAAAATAATGCCATGTCAAAATAAAATGATATAAATCACTCTTTGACAACTTCATACATGTCATACAGTCATATGCAGTCATGTCATTGCAACGCGGCAAAAGTATGATCATGTGGGTACGAAGTGCAGTTCGTCAACAAAGCATAACTGAAAGACTTTACTTTATCACACTTTGCACAGTGACAATGTGTCTTCTGATAATTTCTATTTTTTATGCTTCAGTGTTTTCCAGTTTCAATGAACATACACACCAGTCAATTAACCATTCATCAATTTATTACGTTCGTTATTATATTTTTGGTCGTTTTTGTGTCTTTGACACAATGGAAATCCTCTAGCACATGGTTACAAAACATTAAAAGGATGAGCCTAATGTACTCCATATCGTCGTGTTCTCGATGATTTGGTGACATTTATTACGATAAAATTCATTTGAGGTCATCTACGTGATTTCGGGTTTATCAACATATTTCAGTTGACATTACCTGTAAATGACTACATCTATAATTGACATATGGTATTGTTTCTTTCTGTTTCCCGAAATGGAAATGACGTTGCTTATTTGATGAAGCAATCGGAGAAAAAGGACATTTGGGACAGAAAGATACGTTATAAGAATAAGCATGATACTGACATGCAAATACTGACTGACACACTGCCATTCATTTGCAACTTGCAAAACATGTGTTTTTGAGCAAGCGTAGATAATATAGGCTATTAACAAAAAGATTTCGCTCATGGGCAGAGAAGTAGCTTAAAATTTGAGTTTTCTGAAAAAAGTTATTTTTTCATGTTTTCATAGTTGGTTAGTCATTCATACAGACCCCGAAACAAATATACTGAGTCAAAAAAGAAACTTCACATTCTTTCTTCAGGGAACTATAAAAGAACAAGAGATGGTAAAATGGTTAAATTGTTATTATTTCATTGACATCTGTGTGATGTACTCGAGTGCACTGACAGTGCCATAATCAGTTCCATTAGGCTACACCGCCGTTCCAAAACATGAGTATACAGAATGTCAAGTCACAAGAATACAAATGCGAAATTTCTCAGTTCAATATCGTGTATGGCCGCCCCGCGCATTCACCACTGCCAAACACCGTCTCCTCATCGACTGCCTGATGCTTGTGAACACGTGGTTGGGGATTCTGCGCCATTGCTCTTGCAAGGCAGCGCCAAGTTCCTGAGGTTGGTTCCTAAGACCACGAAGCCTTCTCCCAAGTGCATCCCGAACGTGCTCTATTGGATTAAGGTCAGGGGACCTCGATGGCCAGTCCATGACGTTGATTCCAGCGTTTTGAAGGAAATTTCGTGTCAACATCGAAGTATGCGGCCGAGCATTATCATGCTGGAACTGTAGACCTGGGCCATGAGCCGCCATGAAAGGAACGAGTTCAGGGGTGAGCATCTGGTCGCGGTAAGCAGCAGCTGTGAGGTTTCCACGGATGACCGGAAGTCGGGAATGGTTGTTCCCACAGAAAGCACCCCGCACCATGCAACTTCTGCCCCCGAATCTGTCGACTTCCTGTACACAACATTGGGCATACCGTTTACGACGTCGTCTCCAGACTCTATGCCTGCCGTCCGCGAATCTGAGGGGTAAACCTGGATTCATCGCTAAAGGCGACTCGATTCCAGTCTCTCTGGGTCCATCGGAGGTGACGTTGGGCCCACAACAGACGTTGACGTTGATGAAACGGCGTCAATATTGGCCCATGATATGGACGTCGAGAATGGAGATTGGCAGCCCACAACCGATTTCGAATGGTCTGTGAGGACAGTCGACCTCTAAACATCTCAGCCCTGGTTCGTGTAGCCGGCAGAAATCTGTCACGTAGGTGACGTAGGACGATTTGACGGTCTTCTGTTCGTGACGTCACACGTGGACGACCCGACCTTGGGCGATCAGAAGTGGTGCCAGTTTGTTGTAGACGACCTCGCAAGTCATACACAGTACGACGGCTGCATCCCATTGCTCTTGCGACGTCAATAACTGATCTTCCTGCTTGTAACATGTCAACGGCCCGTTCACGTTGCACATTTGACAATCGTGGCATTTCAAGTACCGTTAGAACTGTGGTTTAAAAGTGTTTTTTTTTCAATTCTTGAGGCCAATGCAAACACGTGCATATGAAGAAAACATCGATGTGAAGATCACGTGATCGACTGCACGTGCAAAACCTGATTTGGCACAAACGTCATTTGCACGACGAATGGATGGGTTTGAGTGGGTTTTGCTAACGTTTTTCTAGAGTCGAAAGATAGGGATCCCATTTCGGATACATAGATGTATCATCAGAGAAAAATTATTCATTATTTTTCAAATTACATTTTGTGAAGTTTCTTTTTTGACTCAGTATACATCAAAGAAAGCCCATGCAAGTCCAGAATATGTTGCAAGTCTAGATTTCGAAAGTCATTTCCTTTAAAATGTTTATAAATGCTTGCTATGTGTATTGGTTTTCCGAAGTGGAAGAGGTATTTTTTCACCTGGAAGTGATCACAACTTTTATATTAATAGATCTGTCGGCAATTATCTTTTAATTTGAAAGAAATTCTACAAAGGTTTTCAAACTAGTGGTGATTTGTTTTCATTCAAGTGCTGCCTCTCTTATTGCGAAAGCTTGAGGCATGTGGCTGTTTGTTTCAAACTGAAATGAATTGACTTTAGGTGTTTCCCCAACCCGAATGTGCTGTATGACCATAGGGCTTTTTTGTTTTAATGTTACTTCATTCTTTATTTCCTGAATTCGGAATTGCTGATACATAAACTTCTAAATTTAATTTAGATCTCTGTCGCTCCTCCTAAATAGAGCCGGCATCCAATAATAGAGCTGCTGTTCTAACCCAATCAGTCACTCATTGATATATGTCAACCTTTCCTCAGAGGCAAAGACTATAGTGCCGCCAGAGGGGAGAACGAAAGCCTTAACCTCGTCCTTCGATGCTGAGGTGCGGCCCCTGATAGACCTGGTCGACAAATTACGTGGGTATGGTCTGGACACAGACATCAACCTTCCCGCCGTCGCCGTCATCGGGGACCAGAGTGCCGGGAAGAGCTCTGTTCTCGAAGCAATCTCTGGCGTCCAACTTCCAAGAGGGACGGGTAAGTTGTCTTTTTAACTACAATGACTTGTAACAGCAAATGGGCGCACGGAAGGTACATTTGTACATCATAATCAATTAACACGAACATTGGTTTGGCATGTTGAAAGCTTGACAAATACATTGTGATATAAATATTTGTTGGCCATGGTCATCTTGAGCAAGTTTGAAAAAGGGGCCCGATGTACCTTGAGCATGTCTGAGTCTAGAAGGTGTCAGAAAAACTTACATCCACCTGGGTCAATAATGAACAACTTTATGGATTAACTTTTAGTTCTTTTGTTTTGTGAGTGCAACGTTTATGTACATATTGTTGTACTTTTGTCAAGCAGTAATGTAAAATGAAGTGGAGTTGATGTATATACACTGAATGTAACAAATATCCACCCGCGTCTAATGCACTTCTCCAACAAGCCCAATCAACTGTATAAACGTCTCTTTATTTCTAAAATACCCATTCTATTTCTACTTCTCTGACTTCCACCCCTTTCCCTTTGTTAACTCACTGGCATTATAAGTCTCCAGCCATTTATGATAGTTGTGTTATTTTTCTTTGTTATATTCAGTATATATACGTTCCCTCAACTTTTGTTACAAAAATCACAACACTAGCTTACATACACAAACACTGGCCAAATTGGTGCCTCATTTACACAGACGGATCCTTTGACCCGGGTACTAAACGCAGAGGTTTCGGCATCCACACATCACAACCCTCAAGACAAATTTAAACATACCCTTACCTAAAAACGAAATGAAAAGCCCATCAAAACAAAATATCTTCCTAAAGTGGCAAAGTATATACCAAAATTCAAATTCTAACCTTAAATATCTACTCAAAAAACACACACAAAAAACTAAAAAGCTACCATAAATCCAAACATATTGACAGGGTCATACCCAAATTATTGAGTGAGTTAACATTTTACATCGCATCGGCAATATTACAGCCATATAGCGATGAAAACAAGGTAATCAATTTAAATAGCTGTCGACAAAGGACAGTAAAACGAACGATCACAGATATATACTTAAAACTAGTAATTAAATCTAAAACACTTAACCTCTTGAGGACGATACAAAATATAAAACAGGCTATTGATCGCCAACAACTGAAGGTAGATCACCATACTAGGGCCCATGGGGACTTACAGTGCCTTTGCTACCTGCATGGACCTTTTAGTTGGATTTACACCATCCCTTCAGCCATTGGCGATTGTAGGAAAAGTTTAGCCGAATTTTAAATTAACAAAATATACTAAAATCTAGTACGCTTAAATTTAACTTTGAAAATTTTGGGACTTACGTACCCTCTCAGGAGTCACAACCAAATTACAAAACAGGTCAAAGCCTTAGGTAAATTTCTAATCAAAACTGGCCTTTTAGGTCGCTTATAATCATTCTACATAACCAACTAGTGCTAACATAAAAACATTAATACAAAAGCAAAACAAGAAAACAACCAAAACAAATACCAACCAAACCATCCCATAGTCCACCCCCTATAACTTCTGGCAAATTTCCGAATTCAAAATTCATACAAATTTAATTATGCAACACTAACGCCCCTTCAGATTGCCATATCAAATAACCCCTCTTTCGCTGAAACACTAAATGGCCTGCCGGCCCGCTTGAGAAATCCGCAATTTGTCGGAAAGCACACGTTAAATCTCCAAATAATCATCATCATCATCATCATCACCATCCTTCTTCATACATTCCTGCTTGACAATGGTACAAGAGCCTGTATTGAATCGTCGCACTCACGAAATTGTTATCCATAAAGTTTGTCAATAGCGTACTTCCCAAATTCTAAAATATCACTTGAAGGAGTTACACTTGGGTCAATACCTTAAAGTAAAAGATCACGAAGGCCAGGGCGTAACATCGAGGCAATGGAGGACATTTGACATTCAAAATGAAATTAACATGCATTCGTGTTTGTAGGTATTGTGACAAGGTGCCCGTTGGAGATGCGGTTGAAGCACTCAGAGGATGAGGACAAGTGGGAGGGAAAGATATTGTATAAGGACAAGCATGATATGCGCCAGGAGGAAGTCATCCTGAACAGAGAAAGCGTCGGAGACCTTGTGCGGAAAGGTTGTGAAACAATGAAATGTATTGTTTTGTATGTGTTTTCACAATATTAAGTAGACACTAAGTTGGGAAACAAATATATTGATTTGGATGTGGAATAACTGTAAAATTGAGACTTATTCAAGTACATATTTTCGCGTACATATATACTGTGTGTCAGTATGGAAACTACATTTTTGTCTGATCTATCAATCTGCAAGTTGCAATTCTGTTTCCGTAGGTAGCTACCAGGGGTATTGTCGTTTCTCTTGAAATATGCAATTGATATGTTCCATGCATGCAGCACAGAAGGAAATGACCGATAGCGCCAAGGGAATTAGTGATGAACTCATTACCCTTGAAGTGACGTCATCAGATGTCCCTGACCTTACCGTCATAGACCTGCCAGGTATCGCAAGAAACGCTGTCGAGGGTCAACCGTTTGATATCGAAGCGAGGGTAAGATGTCATCACAGTGATGCTCAATATCTATATCCCATCAGCAGTATAGAACACTTTGGGAACATCGAGTTTTTAACATTACAAACAATGAATTATACTAAATCATTTTTTTTTGTCTTTTCAGATTAAAAATATGATCCGTAGATATATTGGGCGCCAGGAGACTATCATCCTTGCTGTTCTACAGTGTAATGTGGATATAGCTACTTGTGAAGCTCTCAAGATGGCAAAGGAATTTGATGACGAAGGTGGAAGAACTTTGGGTACGTCATGTCGTTTGATTTTCAAAAAGGCGATGCGAACATAGACGCTTTAAATTATATTGATCACCACATTTGTGAATGCACAATGCCATTTAGAAAGTTACGCTTTCTCAGTAAGGTACAGATTCTACAACCTTTCTGGTTGAGTCCCATCGGGGATTCGAACCCATACTCTCACAGTCAGGTACCTAATCCCCAGCACACAAAGTCAGCCATCTAAACCACTCAGCTACGGTGGCTTCCACAAAAATGGAACTCGGATAACTGGTAGTCCAGATCACGTCCTCTGTGTACCCCTCTGACAAGTGAAAATGGGTACGGCTCCCACAGCCGAAAGCTATGAATTCACAAGGCCATTTTGAGTATGTGTTCGAATCTGCTATGGGACTCAGCTCCAAATATACTAGAATCTGTGCTTTAATGAGAAGGTGTTATCCCAAATATAACATATCTCCAAATTTGTCAATATACTTTCATGTACACATGCTGATGATTGGGTTCAGTTTTGTTTATTGTTTCATAAGTGATGTCGAGAGAAAATATTATTATTGTTGTATTTCACGCTTTCATGTACGTTGTCCATGTGATGATTACATTATTTCTCTATGTATACGTAGTCAACTGGTAAAATGAATCTGTGCAGGCGTTCTAACTAAGCCGGACTTGCTGGACAAGGGAGCCGAGACCGGTGTAATGAGGATCCTGAACAACATGGAGTTTACACTGTCCAAGGGCTACATCATTGTCAAGTGTCGAGGTCAGGAGGCTATATCGGAAGGCCAGTCTTTGAAACATGCACTGGATGTAGAAGAAGATTTCTTTAAAAGTCACAGACATTTCAGGTAGTGTACTAATACCAGTAAAATGCATGCGACATATCTCGACTTTGTACATCTGGAATTAAAACATTTATGGTTTAGACGCCAGACCAGTATACCTATACCACACTTGTTGTGACTGTACTTCATTGTCTACTTCCGTTTAATTTCAGGTTTAGATAACACGAATAGAGATATGTAATTTTAAAAATATAGTAAGTGAAACACCACGTGTATTGAAACATTCATATTTCACATTTTCCATTCGATTCCCACATTGGTACAGTTTGTGAAGCCCATTTCTGGTGTCTTCCGCCGTGAAATTGCTTGAATATTGCTAAAAGCGGCGTAAAACTAAGCTCACTCACTCCTTCAAATTTTCCAGCTCTTTGCGACCTTCTCAGTGGGGAATCCCCAACCTATCAGCGCGCCTGTCACGTGAACTGAAGAAACACATCAAGGTATATACAGTCAATAGAGCAGCTTTTCTGAAATAGTCTTTTCGCGAGTACTCTCTCATTATACATCTGAGATTTAAGATCCAAATGTATATTTAAGTGTGAAGCTTCACGATTACTCTAACTGTTTGGGAATTGATTATGGTTGCCTAAAATACAAGACACATATACGACACGTCAATATTCAACTCAATTGTTTTCTGTAAAGGTTTTTGCCACTAAGGCAATGACTCAAAAGTATGTGTTCCACTTTCCAACAGGTTTGTTGTTAACAGAGCTCATGAACAATGTTGTAGAAACTGTTACCGGAACTGAAGGAGGAGGTGCGCCGCAAACTCCTTGAGACGGAGCGGAAGTTGCATGATCTCGGAGAGGATCCACCAGAAACAGCCTCAGAGAAACGTCAGATGGCTCTCCAGGTACATCAGAGAATGGGGTTCAACTGCATTCGTAACAATATTCTTGCCATACAAGATGTATTGAGTTCTGTAATTCGCGAATACAGATACAAAGATATTAGCAACAGAATGTAACTGTTTAAAGACAGTTTTAACTCTTTCCTTTTACAGTCCGATTAAGCCTCTACGGTTAGCTCAAATGGTGTATATACGTTATCGTATTCTTAAATGTTCAACTGGATAGTTTTCTGAAACCGTACCTTAATGAGGGAGATGCTTTTGACAGATGGTCACCGAGTTTATTAGCGTTACCACCTCCTTGACGAACGGACAACGCTGTAATGACAACAAGTTTCCGCAAAAGATTAACAACCTCTTCAGCGATGCTCGTCGGTCATTCGCAGATCTGAATAAATGTGCTGAGCGGGAACAACCAGGTATTAATACCTACTATCAGTTTGAAACAAAACAAATAGTAAAAGAGCACCAAACAACGTTCACAGCCACACTCATAGGGGATGGGGATGCAGGGGTGCGCACCCTCTCGTTTTACCTGAAAGTTAATTAAATGACCACCGAAACTCAGGTGAAAATGAAGTGCGCGCGCGCACACACACACACACACACACACTTCCTCTGCATCCAACTATGAACAAATCCCGTCCATTTATCTTGAAATAGGTGTTTATTACATTCATATCTCACGTTAAGTTCTGTCTGTTGAAAAGAACAGTTACTAATTCATGGATCTTGCAGGAATTAAAGGGAAAGATCCTGAGCATGAGTTTAAGCACGACGTCTTGGTTCGAAACAGGAATGGAATTAAGTAACTTACTAGTTGAATATTTAGCGTGCGTTTAAAGGAAAATCTCTCACTAAGGACGTTAAGATGCAGATTCCTGTACCGTTGTCTGGCAGGTAATTGACAACGGTAGAAGAATCTGTGACACTTAAAAAATGAAAGGGGTTTCATCAAATGTGTCATCATTCTAAACTTCAAAAATGCCTCTCAAAAGTTTCATGTCGTTATGATATCATTGGCAATCAGGTCCACCAACATGGTCAAGCGTTTATTTAGATTGCTAAACGGATGCATTGCTCCCAGATAAGCCATAATATCGCTCATGAATCGTTCATGAACGAGGTGCACGTGAATCATGCTAGTGCAGCCCACATTTCCTTCCCTCACATAAACACATTATTCCTATCTTTTGCATGTTCGATTCGATTAAATTTTAAAATAAACCTGAACATTCAAAAGGTATTTTTTTTTAATTAATGGCGTAGAACCACAGAGCGCGATTGGTCTATACAAATTAGCACAAGGTACACAGTGTCCGATTGGTGTAGTTAAATTTAACTTAAACCAGGACACTGCGTTCCTTGTCTTAATTTGTTTAGACCAATCGCGTCCTGTGGTTCAATTCGATTATATGAGGAAGAATAAAGGGATAGACACACAGATTTACCTGTTTTCTAGATACCACGAACCGGACATTAAAGACCGAGTTACAACAGATGATGGAGGCTTCCCGAGGTCGAGAGTTTTGTAATTTTCTGGGCAAATATGAGCTAGTGGAAAGTTATGCTCGGCAATACATCTCCAAGATGGAAGAACCTGCACTTCAATGCTTCGATGACGTCCACAGAAAGACGACAGAAATCCTGAAGATTTTAGCAGAAAAATGTTTTGAGAAATTTCCTGATTTTGCAGAGAGAGCTAAGGTGTTTAGCATATTGTAATTTATTCTCTGCAATATGTTTTAGCGATGAGTGAAAATCACTTTTCATAATGTGTATGTTGTGCACGGCAATGTAGTCTGAAGATGTTCAATTATTTAATTGACCAAATAATCCTTGTGACAGGACTGAAATATATCGGGCATCAAATGCTACCATCTTTATCTTATGTCATAAATATATTCATCCAGTTGGTTTCGTTTCTCTTCGAATTAACTTATTGTTCTGACACGTCATTGCGGCTAAGGCTGTTTGGCGAGACCACATTTCTATCGGTGAACCAGCAGGGATGCAGATTACAAAGTGTCATCCAGGTTTTTTAAAATGAATTATACCAACATGGCTGAAGGAAGCGTGAAATCATAAGATTTGCTTCGTAAAACCCTATCTCAACAGGGCCATTTGCACTGTATGAATGATGTTCCTTTGTTGCTGTTTTTACATTGTTGTCAGCATTATACCCGTCATATGATAAATACGAATTATGACTGGGAGTTATGTCACCATAAGACATCATATATCCAAGACAGTAGATATCCAAGGGTGATAATTCTTCTTCGGATGAGCAACTTTCTCTACATCTGTAGATAGAACAATAAAGAGGTTAGGAAGGTATGATGAGAAAAACAACTGAGTGATTGATATGTACAGGTTGATTAGAAGCCAGCATCAAGATGAATAGTACTGAGATCGATAAAGAGAGGTGTTTGTGAGAGTGATTGTGTAGAATGATGGATGGAAACATGAAAGCACGCAACCACTAGAGTGGTTTGGTGTTGTGGGACGTTTTCCTCTTTTGCCTCCAGCACGCACATGTGTAGCAGTTTGCGGACGTGGGCCCCTTTTTGCATCTTGTGGATATCCAGCACCTACCTTGTTAAAGCTGTGCAAGTTCAGGATCAGGAAGCAAATTTTACATCACGAGTTTGTTTTCATGTTTCTGGACTCTAAAACATGTATCAATGAAGGGGATCTTGTTGTAGATTTCGTAGGTTGGCAATAAGGTAGGTGCGGTGGATATCCCATGAATTATCTCCCTGGTTCATCATATCAACTTGTAAATTCCTTTAAAGCTGTAGCTGTTTATTACATCAGATACGTGAGGTTGAAACCATCCACATGACATCGTTATTATTGTACTGTATACATGTTTCAGGAAGTTATAATGAAGACTCGGAAACAGACCCAAAATGAGTGCAAAGACGAAATACTGAGGTATTTCAGGATGGAGAATCTGGTGTACTCCCAGGACAATACGTATGGCGTCGAATTCCGTGAGTGGTGAAAACGAATAATTTAATCTTTCCAATAACTGGCCCCTCAGAGGATACTATGAATGCACGTATTTATATATTTAGTTGGCTTTCCTCTGGATATTCTTCCTCCAATCATGTACGTGATTTGAGGGAAAAAGTTTCGTCGATTTTGGACTTGGGTCCTTATATACTGAATGGTGAATCAGCCTTCATTTTTAAGGTTCAAAGTTAGTATTCGTATGATTGGTAATAAATCACATATCAAAATCTATGTGTTTCAGCACTCTGGCTGCTTACCTTCTTCAGAATAATATATGAGGGAAATAAGCCAGGCCAAAAATCAAAATACGATCTCTAAATCTATATATGCTTTTTAGACGAACTACGTGAGTGGGGAAAACAAATACTGTAGTGAATCCACTGACTGACCTCTCAGAGGATGGTTTAAGAATAATTTTTAATTTGATTGGCTTAGTTCCCTCTGGCTTTGTTGTCTCAGATCATGTGTGTGTGATTTATGGGAAAGTTTTGTCTTAGGTCCTTATGTGCCACTATATTGAATGATGAATCAACCTTCAGGTTCAAGGTTCCAAAGTTAGTATTCGTATGATTGGATATAAATCATATATGAACACTACATGAAATTATTGCTGCTTTCATCGAGGAGTGTTGCCATACTTTATTTCTATATACATGTACTCATTGATGAGATCATCAAGGTACATTCGTGGAGCCCAGTAAACATAATGAGTACATAGACGATGTCTTTGTGTTTCAACATTCTGGCCACTAACCAGAAATATTCAATCTGCATACAAACATTTATTAACATTGACTATAGTCATTTTATCCGCTCTAGGAGCAGAGGAGGAGAAGAAACGAAAGGAAGAAGAGGAGGAAAACGAAAGGAAACAGAAGAGCGCGGCAAAATACCACGTTCAGATAGGTACTAGCGTATTGATAGGGTTACCATGAAAGAAGGTTCCATTCAATTCGTCAGACTGTATTGTTTGCTTTCATTCTTTCATGTTGATCAAGCCAATACATGCAGTGTTCTTATAACCTTGTTTAAATATAAATGTGTTCACAGTAATAAATCTTCAATATAGTATTTGAATAACACTACACTCTTGGAATCGGTTCCATATGATACTGAATGTGCATATGCATATCACTTAAATTTAAATTTGGATATGCACGTCTCATTTTTCCTTATTTAAGGCTCTCAAAATGACGAAGATGTGAACGGTGTTGGCAAAGCATTGATGAGTCTAAAAACCTATTACCAGGTAAATGTTTTTAACATTTGTCAGATGGTTCATGTTTGCTATACCTCCTCTTCCTATTTTATCAGTCGTGATAAGTTGATGCCTACGGAGTCTCAGTTTGAAATGGCACCTTGTCATTACTTTCAATACCTGTCATGTTAATTGTCAACGTCATATATTGTATTGAACATCTTAACCTTTAAAGGTGAGTTGCGGTGAAATTGGGTTTAAAGTCGTGCTTGAGAATATTTCGCTCATATGACGACGTGCATGCGTGTGTATGTGTATGTGCGGCTGCTTGTACTAGCCAAGACTGAAGCTGGTTTTATAGTGCTAGCCCACTGAGATACCATGCCGCAGTGAAGCATGAATACCCCACTCAGACACATTATACTGACTCTGAGCCGACCAGTCCTTGTTGTACCCATTAATGCCGAGCGCCAGGCAGGGACCAACAAGTACCATATACCGGTATCACAGAGTTTTGGTAATCCGACCGTCACCGGTCTCTTTCATAGGTTTATAGGCTACATCGATATGTTTCACCGATTTCTTTTGATCTTTTGAGGTTTGTTACATTTCAATAAAATACAAAACAAATCTCCAAGGATAAAATGTAAGTATTTACATATCTTCACTATTGATGACAAATTAAAAAGAATGTCATACTGTCAGTTACAACAGAGATTTAGTGTCTAATTTGAAAAAAAATGAAACTCGTATTCACGTAAATTCAATACATGTGAACAGAACTCTGGGTACGTAATGCTGTTTCGTTAAATTTGAAAATGCCGATCCAAACATTGTGAAGTTTTTAAATTGATTGATGTCAACGTTATTGTTTATACACTCTTAAAAAAGAAACGCACAGGCAAAAAATAGTTAATTGTATTAAAAGTATCTAAGTGTACATAAGCCAATTAAGCATGAACATAGACGAAGGAAATTCGACAGACGTATGAACATATATATTGTTGTCATTGACAGCATTAATTCAGTTCACTCACTGCACATGTGTTTTTTTATCTTTGTTTACGTCGTAAATTTCGTATTGAAAATTGGTTTGGCCTTTTATAGTCTTTTATATCTCTGTTCATGTTTTCAATACAGTCACGTGCATTACGTGGAAAACGTTTTCTGCATGCACTTTTTAGGTATCGTTTTCATTTTTATGACAGACTTTTTACAAAAACAATTTGGGATGCGTTTGCGCGCAATACCCAACAACCACGACATGATTAGGAACGTAGGAATGGTCTTAATGACGATTGCTGTCATTACGGAAATGAACTGCTGAAAACCCCTGTCCGTTTCTTTTTTTAAGAGTGTAGTTATTATATGTATTAAGGAGAGAGAATGTTGTTTTCAGTAAACCAGTCCTTATATGTGCATTTCTTTAAGATTGCTGCGCGGCGTCTCTGTGACGTCATCCCCATGCTCATACAGCTGCACGTGTTCCGGGAACAGGTCGAGGAAATGCAGATCCAGCTCATGGACATTGCTTCAGATGAAAGAACCATGGTGCACATCCAGGAAGATACAGACATGGCTTATGTTAGGAGAGAATGCAAGTCTCGTCTCGAGAGACTGCTTCGGGCGGAAGAAGAGCTGGACAAAATCTAGCGTTTATCTATCATGCCATTACTGGCACTTTCATTGTTTCTGTAAATGTATCTTTTCTTGAAAGGCCGTTTGTAATTTCGTTTATTCAAAGATTATTCAATGACGTTTTGTTGTTTTTCCATTTGACGCTTTAAAGTTGTTTACGTATTGTCCACTGATTCTAGTGAATTGGGATTTATGTAGCATTTCTTACTACATGATATCATATCATTGTTTGTTTGAATGTTCAGCTTGTATTGTTTCATATTTCTTTGTTTATGAATTCCTACATATCAAGAATCTGTAATGCCGTCTGATGTTCGTATCTCACCAGGGGGGTGGTAGCGATTAAAGAGAATCACATAAACACCATATGGATTTCCCTGCCTTATAGCGCCGTATGTGTTCATGACGACTAGTAATGGCTAAATACATTATATAAAGCAAAGATAAATTCAGGGTAGTCCACGAACTTTGTATCTCGTGTAAATACGAAATCACTAAAATAACACGTGAAAAATAGAGAATTTTAATTCACCTTAATGACATTTAGGTGTGTTTATGTTATGGGCTGTTTTCCGTCTGGGGAGGTAGGTAAAACCACTTTTCACAAATTAAATTAATCGATCATTGAAGCATAAGATTCCACGTACTTGTTCTACTGCATTGTCAACGTTCACAGCCATTGCTTCTTTTATGTAGAGAAGTTGGTTAATCAAATAACTGTGAACTTCACATCAACAATACCTACTTTCTGCCACAGGGGCTTGTAACGCTAAAAACTGCCATCAAGGTATATACTGTCACTGACGGGGGACATTTTAGTTTCTTTATTTCCTTCAACAGTTTGTTGTTATCACTTTTTATCTCATTGAATCTATTTCTCAATAAACGCTGAAATTCATCTTGTTTCTGTCTGCATATAATTTTAAAGATTTTTCTGTAATGCTGAAATGTTTGATAGTCTTCATCTCTATCCCTGTCTCTAAATCTATCAAGCGCCAGATACTTTCCATCTTCGCTCTGTCAGAGTCCGCGTCACACCATGCTGGCCGAGTCCCGCCGCGCTGCGGGTCACGTGACCCGTGTCGTCTGCTCATCGTAGCGGCTGCTCTCGTATACAGATCACATATCAAATCTACTGCATTGTCAATGATCACAGCGATTGCTTCTTTTATGTAGAGAAGTTGGTTAACCAAATTCACTGTGAACTTCTCATCAACAATAAATTATATACCTAAGTTTCACATACACAATACTTACTTTCTGCCACAGGGATTTGTAACGCTAAAAATTGCCATCAAGGTATCTACTGTCACTGACGGGGTCTTAGTACTACGTCTATAAAAGGAAAGGGATGTAACGAGGTCAACACACCAAGTTCGTTTCATGGCGAATTCAACAATGCTCAGTGTATTTATCCCATTTAAAATTGCACACATTTCAAGCCAATAGATTTACCCACGAAATGAGACATACGGCACAAAGATCGAAGCAGTACTTTGGGAGCTAGGGTCTTCGGAAGCTCGAAAAATCGGGATTTCTCGATTCCGAGCCAAAATCCCTGCTCAGAATTGTAGCGGTAACTCGCCCCTTTCTTGTTTATTTCACAACTATACATACGACATTCACCAAAACATGTTGAACTGATGGTGCCTGTCAGAGCGCTAGTCGTCATTCTTTCGGATACACTTATATCGGTGTCCTGCCATTAGTTATACGTCCCACTAGTCATACGTGTAAAAATGGAATAATCCAAGAAACTAAAATACAGCTTCACATCAGTGAAAGCCACATTTGAAAAATACCAATTGCCCTAAAGCCACATTTCAAGTACAAACATCGGTGCCGCGAATCACGGCGAAAGCCACAATAAGTAAGGGAATCAATACCGTTTTCTGAAATAAGCGTCACCCATTGATCACAATTGGATTGAAATTGTTTCTAGTTAACATATGATGACATATGTTCTGAGATAAAATGATACATGCTAATGGGTCATTCTACGGAAAAGGGCAAAATATGCTCAAACTGTATGTTTCTACTTCTTGACAAGTGTTTCCTAGGTACTGATTGGTATGATGGGTATATCATCAGCAGAGAAGTGTGGACAAGAATTTTCCATCAAATTTATCGTGACGTTTCAACTTTAAATCAAATGTCATTACTGTAACGGCGGCAAAAATACTGATTTTGGAAAATCTAGAAATCTAGTCATAAATGTTGCTTAAAACAGATATGAAATGGAAGGCTTAGTCGTCATATAGGCGTCACATAGTACACATACATACTCTATACACTGGAATGAATCCTTGATTTTGCAATTTTCAGTTGTGGTGTATTATGTTCATTACCAAAGACTGTGGCATTCTCAGTGTTAGCGATTAAACTAACCTCAATCTCTCTAATTAGCGGACTAGTCCATTTTGCCCAAAGGCTATATGCCTGTTGTTGTTTTAATTAATCCCTCATTTGCTGTATGACTAGTGGGAGAAGGACTAATGGGCGTATGACTACTGGAACATGACTCTTATATCTCACTGTCATAATGAGTTTACGCTCATTTATACATCGCAAACAGAATTGTGTCGTACCCGTTCGCCATTGACGACCTTGGCCTTAACCTACCCCGCACTGAAAAGAGTCAGCGATTTGATGGGACATATTTTATTTTTAGCCAATGAGCTCCCTGGCTCTTTTCAGTGTGGGCTGCTTTCTGCTACAGCATCCATCTGGAATGATTAAATAAGCCCATGTGAACAACATAGCTACTTAAAACAAATTGCAACATGTTTACATCAAAATATCATTCATAACCATTATTGAATTTTGATAATCATCCTGATGAACCTATGTTGCATTCTGTACAAATGTGACTTGTCAAATTGTCGATTTATACAAACTGCGAATAATGGATTGGAGGGAATCGTATTTCAATTCGTTTATGCTTTATGGCAACTCATACTTGAAACCATGTTGAAGACGTACTTCCTTATACGGAAACCGAAACTAGGGCTTTCCAAGTAGTGACGGATATTTCAACGAAAATATTCTTGTATGAAACAGCGGAAATAATCACAATTTAACCATCTTACCATCTCTTGTTCTTTTATAGTTCCCTGAAGAAAGAATGTGAAGTTTCTTTTTGACTCAGTGACCCGCCTCCGTGGTGTAGTGGTTTAGAGCGTCCGCCCGGAGAGCGGAAGGTCGCGTGTTCGATCCCCGACCGCGTTATACCAAAGACGTTAAAATATGGTACTTGTTGGTCCCTGCCTGGCGCTCGGCATTATTGGGTACAACAAGGACTGGTCGGCTCGGAGTCAGTATAATGTGTCTGAGTGGGGTATTCATGCTTCACTGCGGCGTGGTATCTCAGTGGGCTAGCACTATAAAACCAGCTGAAGTCTGGGCTAGTACAAGCAGCCGCACATACACATACACACGCATGCACGTCGTCATGTGAGCGAAATATTCTCAAGCACGACGTAAAACCCAGTTTCACCTCACCCATTTTTGACTCAGTATATTTTATTTTTAGCCAATGAGCTCCCTGGCTCTTTTCAGTGCGGGGCTGCTTTCTGCTACAGTATCCATCTGGAATGATTAAATAATCCCATGTGAACAACATAACTACTTCAAACAAATTGCATTCAATTACTAGTTTTACATATATATATCTGTGATACTCTAGTTGCTTTACTGTCCTTCGATGACAGGTTTTATCATATATACATATTCCATTACACTGTAAAATGTTCTCGTCACGATATGGCTGAAATATTGCCGATGTGACGTTAAATATTAACTCACTCACTCAGTCACTCAAACAAATTGCAACATGTTTACATCAAAATATCATTCATAACCATTATTGAATTTTGATAATCATCCTGATGAACCTATGTTACATTCTGTCGATTTATACAAACTGCAAATAATGGATTTAAAAAATAATGGATTGGAGGGAATCGTATTTCAATTCGTTTATTCTTTATGGCAACTCATACTTGAAACCATGTTGAAGACGTATTTCCTTAGACAGCAGAAGTGTCAGCTTTCTTCCATTTCCATTGGACAATCCTCAATCCCTTTCTCTCCCTCTGTAAGAAATCTTGGTGTTTATTTGGACTCAAATTTGTCTATGAAAAGTCATATCAACCACCTATGCAAAATATGTCACTTCCATCTCCGAAATATTGGTTCCATACGCAACATCTTAACCATAGAAGCAACGGCCACCCTCGTTCGATCTCTAGTTCTATCACGATTGGACTACTGTAACAGTTTACTAATTGGTATCTCTGATGAACAATTACAGCGCCTCCAGAAAATACAGAATCAGGCTGCTCGCATCACCGTCACAAGGACAAAGCTATGTTCTCATATTACGCGATGAAAAAAGCTCTCAAATTCTTCTTCACTGGCTCAGATCCGCGAGAGGATTGAATTTAAACTGCTCTCCCTTGTTTATCAGTCTGTTTTATAGCATTGGTCCAGCATACCTCCATGATTTGATAACGCTGTACAAACCTGACAGATCTCTCCGCTCCAGCGATCAACTCTTGCTAGTTGTTCCTGTGTGCAAACTTAAAACCTTTGGTGCAAATTCATTTTCTCATGCTGCTGCCACTCTCTGGAACTCTCTACCATCGGATCTTAAAACCTCTCCATCACTCCGAGTCTTTAAGTCCAAGCTCAAAACTCACCTCTTCAAGAAATATCTATGACGTCAACTTTCCTGTACATAGAACCTGTATATATGTTATGCGCTTAGAGCATGTCCCTGGGTGATGTGGATGAGGCGCTATAAAAGTACTCTTATTATTATTATTATTATTATACGGAAACCGAAACTAGGGCTTTCCAAGTAGTGACGGATATTTCAACGAAAATATTCTTGTATGAAACAGCGGCTGCTAAAGAGCCTGCTCATTGTAGTTTAGGGCAAACTGTGTTAAATTTGTCCGAACGTTTTGGGGGAAGCCAGAAAGCACAGGCCGAAGAAACCCAACAAATAGGATGGGGAGACACAGGAAGAAGAACGGTTATTCGAGTCAGACGACATCCTCGCGTGACAATACAGGTAAGGATCAGTAGAATCGACATGCTTTATGACGTAGTAGCAAAACCATTTTGAGTGTGTATTTTGGTCCGTTATGTTCCTCATTTACATATTATAAGCCAGGGCGTTTATAAGCTTCATTTATGTTAAAAATACGTAGGCTTAGATGAAGTAAGTTGGTGAGATATATGTAGTTGGGAAGTGTAACCTTGTCGAGTATTTATCAGACAATCTGTTATTTTGATCATTTGAACTCACTGTACTCACTGTACAGCATCTACTTAATGAGGACGAGGAGAGATTGTTAGTGCAAACTGTCAATCAAATCAACTAACTGGGCGCATACCACGCATCAACTGACACAAATGGGAAATAATTAATAGTTACAAAAAATATTTCTGTAGAAATCTTTTCCGGAAAATTGTATGAAACAAATACCTACTTTTTCTTGTTTCCCTAACTGCAACGGGTACGAAAACAAGAAAAGTAGGTATTTGTTTCATACAATTTTCCGAAAAGATTTCAACGTAACCTCTTTTGTATTCTACGTAATTTTGTTTGGCTTCATTTATATGTGTCTTTTTTTTGTTTTTAGTTATTATATTCGTTAAATCTTTTACAAAGTTTCTCACAGAGGATAGTTATTTCTAAATCCAGTTACGAAACTACATTATAAAATCAGTTAATAACCACTCACGATCAGTACAAATAGTCGAAATAAATTTAAAATCACAGGAATACTTTGTACAATCACCAATGCACAAATGCATGTATCTGGCAGTAGCACATATTATAACAGCCAGAAATCCAAATGTCACAATCGAATGGCATGAAGCATGCAGACAAATAGGTTTTTTACCATAAATATCCCGTTCGCTCAAGGCAAAAATGTAAATAGCAAGACAGATTGCAGACAGAGGTTTCCAATGTTCCTGGCATAGTACTCATGTAGGCAGGAGTAGGCAGGAGTAGGCGGCGCATTTCGCTGTGCAGCGGAATGTCATGTCATAACACCGGGCATATGTTGGTTTGAATCCCGGTCCGCCCTGACTATGTATCATAGTTATCAACATCAGGTGCTCGTGGTGGGTTTAATCAGAGCGGCAAATCTGCATCACCTCGGGCGACCGTCCATATTACTATGACACACCTAACATACATACATACAGACAGACAGACAGACAGACAGACAGAGCATGTGAATAACAAACACGCGCTAGTAGGGGTGGAGACATTTGTACTATCGTTGGGAAGTCACGAGATCACCCTGCAACAATTTCCAAATAATAAATGGACAGCGAAATAATCCATTCGTATGAGAATAGTTCTATATTATTAACAAATAAGTCTCAGATAATATAATTATTTTACAGGTTGCATTGATTCAAATATATTTGTAATATACAATTGAACACACTACAGTCAAAACCTTCACAGAGTGTACTGAAGCAATGGAAAACGATAAACCTTACCCATTTATGGAATGTAGTTTTTTATGTCCACCCTTTTGACCCCTCTAAACATTTGCCACTTTTATACAGGCAACTCGTACACTGGCTGTCAAATATTTCACCTACTCATGTCATGACGCCCTGCCGTGTAGCAACTGTTGCCAGGGCGGTGAAACGCGGCATGACGTCAATAGATTTCCAGGAATATGGCTTCATGATTCTTGGAATTGTCCACTTGAATCGAACACCCAAGCGTTGATTGTGACAATACACCTTGTAGGCTGCAGTGTATCTACGAATTCTTATTAACGGTTATCAAATTATATTGACTTCCCACCCCGCGTGATACTGCACTATCTTTTAATGTAAATTGTCAGTGAGCTGTGCTGCTCGCCTTGCTCAACCATCACGTGTACCCACACATGTACCTGTGTATATAAAGCTGCAGGTTGTTGAGTAGGGATTAAATCCATACATCTTTCACGTGGTTTATCTACTTTGCCATTCACCGAGGACTGCCACACAATTTAGGTGGTCCATCAAATAGCTGTTCATAAATCAAAAGCATTGAAACGACACTCCACTGAGCAGCCACGCATTATCCCTGATTTTGAACATTATCGTTTTACACTGACGCTTCTTTTACCCGAGTTAGCTCCCTTAGACCACCACTGAACAACAGAATGAGTTAAAGTACCAGGTTGAGAAATAGAATCAGTTATTTAAATGGGAGATGAAATAAATATAGACATGATTAATTCTGAGGGAAAGTAGGAGGCGGTTCGCCGAAACATTTTGCTAATTCATTTAAATATAAGGGTTTTTCTTAATCAGCCTTAATTAGAAAGTCACCAAACAATGCTGCAGTACCCCCGTTGTCATTTCATTGTAAAACTTCAAGACAGTCCACATTGTGCCAAAACGTTATATAAGAAACGCTTCAATTTTAGGAGTTTTCTTATCAAGCAATCTTAATTGCTTTGTATTTTGTCCTCAATACAGATGCAACGGCACTGACCATTACGTGCTTATGATTGTGTAATTAACGTAGCTACGCGTGCTAAGTGGCGCTAAATGCAATCTCTTACTGATATATTTACAATCGTTCCACAGAGCCAAAAACTATAGTGTCGCCAGAGGGAAAAACAAAAGCCCTAGCCTCGTCCTTCGACGCTGAGGTGCGCCCCCTGATAGACCTGGTCGACAAACTACGTGGGTATGGTCTGGACAGAGACATCAACCTTCCAGCCGTCGCCGTCATCGGGGACCAGAGTGCCGGCAAGAGCTCTGTTCTTGAAGCAATCTCTGGCGTTCAACTTCCAAGAGGAACGGGTAAGTTGTGTTTCTGGTCAGGTTGTTACAAACAACACACCTGCAATGACGTTTAATGGTAAATCAGTATTATTATATTATTATTGTAGGATATTTATATAGCGCACATATCCAGGCAACTAGTGCATGCTCAAGGCGCTGGTATTTTCCCCTCGACCACTGGATGTCAATCTCAACGGCACATCATATCATCAATCTCAACTCCCTGGGGAGTACACAGCTCTTGTAGCCACAGGGGGCACCGAGTTATTGTGGCTTTCTCATACTAACGAGGTACCCATTCACAGTGGGGTGGACTTGGACACATAGTACTTTGTCCCAGTTCACTGCACGTTGCTGTACCCGCAACTAGGTGTTTGCACGTATTCATGTGGTCATATAGCAACGGATTCGTGGGTTGTGTACTGTACACTAGGGGTTGTGACAACACTGAAAGAGTCTGCACACAAAGTTGACACAAAGGTTTTTACACCCGGTCACAGGTGGGCTCGATCTCGATACGTCAACGTCGCTGGATCACTAGTCTGGCGCCTTAGCCTGCTCGCCCACCGCGTACTAGTATATGGAAAGTACCTATGTACACTTGTATCTAAACTAAGACTAAGCCTGGTTTCACGTGATAACAACACAGAGAACAGAATTATTTGTGGATAGTTTACCAAAAGTTTATAAGTTATCCTTAAGGTGTCTGATACCTCAAGCCAGATTTCCTAGAAGCCCACTGAACTATGTACACTTGTGAGACTAAGCCTGGTTTCACATGTTGCTGACACAGAGAATAGAATTATTTGTGAATAGTCTAACGCAAGTTTATAAACCTCAAGTCAGTTGTCCTAGAAAGCGTATTGAACGGGTTTCTTAGACATTTGTTATGAGTGAGTGAGTGAGTGAGTGAGTGAGTTAATATTTAACGTCACATCGGCAATATTTCAGCCATATCGTGACGAGAACATTTTACATTGAAACGGAATATGTGTACACATTTGTATTATGAAACCTGTCATCGAAGGACAGTAAAACAACTAGAATATCACAATTAGATTTAAAAGAGAGGTTAAAACTAATAGCACAAAAGGACAATACAAGATAAAAACAGGCAATAGATCGCCAACAACTGAAGGTAGATCACCATACTAGGGACCATGGGGACTTACAGTACCTTTGCTACCTGCATGGACCCTAGCTGGATTTATATCATCCCTTCAGCCATTGGCGTTTATACTGGGATTTAGCCATACATTAAAATGACAAAATAGTACGATTAAAACCTGGTAGACTTAAATTTACTTGAAGTGTTTTGGGACTTACTTACCCTCTTAGGGGGACAATAATTTTACAGTACTTTAACCCCCTTTGAGGGTACAGCCAATAACAATACAAGTTACTAATCTAAACTACCAATCATTAAAATGCATCTATATACAGAACATATTATCACAATTCATTAATTCAATCAATTTCATTTAAAAAAGCAAGAATTAAATGAAGATGAACAGTATTAAAAAGATCCTTAACAGTTTTAACATTGAAATATTTATCCCTTATGATGGAGAATTCTACACAGTCAAGCAGGAGATGCTTGACTGTGACTCTCTCATCACAAGGGATACAAAACGGATGATCTTCACCTTTTAACAAAACATTTGTTATGGAAAACACACCTACAACGATGTCAACATCGGCGTACCGAAGGCAAATGTACATGTATGTCAGCTGAGACAGAGGATTTGATACTTTTGAAGACATAAGCCATCTTCCAGATATATGTTGTATGTAACTCACGTCAGATGTCTGTTGAAAGACTGAAACAGGTTGGAGAAGTTCAATAGTCCCTTGAACATGTCTGAGTCTACCAATTGTTAAAACACCTTGCAACTAATTTGGTCATTATGAAGAACGTCATGCACAACTTTGTGTTGTTTACAAATGGCCTGGGGTGACTTTAACATTGACCTTTACAAGTATTGATTAGTCAGGTTATTTTCGAGGAATTAACACACATCTGAAAATTAAAGAACTTAAAGTAAAGAAAGACACATAGTGTGCATTCGTATTTGTAGGTATTGTGACAAGGTGCCCGTTGGAGATGCGGATGAAGCACTCAGAGGATGAGGACAAGTGGGAGGGAAAGATAATGTATAAGGACAAGCATGATATGCCCCACGAGGAAGTCATCCTGAACAGAGAGAGTGTTGGAGACCTTGTGCGGAAAGGTTGTAAAACAGATAAACATTGTTCTGAGTGTGTTTTCGTCAGCATTTATTGATCAACAATTTCAGGAACTGTAGCATTTCCTGAGTTTTAAATATAGTAATATCAAATGAAATGGAATCAACTATGACTGTTTATATCTTATTACTATGTATGTTGCTATGGAAACAAATAAGTCTATATTTCTCACCAACCAAACTGCAAGGTTCTGATGCTGTTTAAATGAGAATCTACAGAGTGTGGAAAGTTGCTAACTACAATGTCCCATGCCTGCAGCACAAACGGAAATGACAGATGGTGCCACGGGAATTAGTGATGAACTCATTACCCTGGAAGTGACGTCATCAGATGTCCCTGACCTTACCGTCATAGACCTGCCAGGTATCGCAAGAAACGCTGTCGAGGGTCAGCCGTTTGATATCGAAGCGAGGGTAAGATGTCATCACAGTGATACTCATATTCAAAACATATAATTCAATCAGGCGAATTATAGTGTACACATTTTCCTGCCGACTGTTATCGAAATTTGATTGAGAACATATTATTTAAAGGATTGTTAAAACATGGGAAGCTATGTGACTATTTATGGCGAAGTGACAATGTAATCCACTGAATCGAATATTATATGAGATGTTTCATTATTTTTGCCATTTTGAACATCTAATCAACCAATCAGAATAATTTTCATATGAATAGTTGCCCATCCTCGCGTCTTCTATCTACATCCGCTTAGCAATAAAAAGAATTTGGGAATATATCCATTCAAACTTAGTTCAACGTTTAAACTATCAATAATTTACAGCAACAATAATTCAGTTATTTTACTTTTCAGATTAAGAATATGATCCGTCAATATATTGAACGCCAGGAGACCATCATCCTTGCTGTTCTACAGTGTAATGTGGATATTGCCACGTGTGAAGCGCTCAAAATGGCAAAGGAATTTGATGACGAAGGTGGAAGAACTTTGGGTACGTCATGCCGTTTGGTTTGATTTGTAAAAGGCCGATCCAAACTATTTGTATTTTTTAAAATTACATTGATGTCTACGTTAGACTTTATACTTTGATATATATTTTAAATATGATGATGATGGGTTTAAGCTTTGGTTGTTTTCAGAGCTATAATTACGAACTGATTATGTTTAGTGTATCTTGATGCTTTCGTCTGCAGGGGCGGTGGGGTAGCCTAGTGGTTAAAGTGTTTGCACGTCACGCCGAAGCGAGGTGGGTTCGATTCCCCACGTGGGTACAATGTGGGAAGCCCATTTCTGGTGTCCACCGCCTTGATATTGCGGGAATATTGCTAAAATCGCCGTAAAACCTAACTCATTCACTCACTCACTTTCGTCTACAAGTGCTGATTACATGCTTTCGATATGTAGCAAACGGGTAAAATGAATCTCTTCAGGGGTTCTAACTAAGCCGGACTTGCTGGACAAGGGAGCCGAGACCAGTGTGATTAGGATCCTGAACAACATGGAGTTCACACTGTCCAAGGGCTACGTCATTGTCAAGTGTCGAGGTCAGGAGGCTATATCGGAAGGCCAGTCTTTGAAACATGCACTGGATGTAGAAGAAGATTTCTTCAGAAGTCACAGACATTTCAGGTAGTGTACTAATACCAATAAAATGCAACATATGTCGACTTTGTACATCTAGAATTAAAACACATGTACGGCTTAGAGACGCCAGACCAGTTTATCTATACCACACTTGTTGTGACTGCACTTTATTGTCTACTTCAATTTCATTTCGGGTATAACCGGTGAAGGTCCGGGTTAGAATGAACATTTAGCAACCCATGCTTGTCGTAAGAGGCGACTAACGGGATAAGGTGGTCAGGCTCGCTGGCTAGCTTTGACACTTGTCATCGGTTCCCAATTGCGCAGATCGATGCTCATGCTGTTGATCATTGGATTTTCTGGTCGTGATTCGATTATTCTCAGGCCGCCGCCATTTACAGAAACACTTGGCGTATTGAAACATTCATTTGATTTAATAAAGAGCTATTGTAATGTTTTCATATTTTCCAGCGCTTTGCGACCTTCTCAGTGGGGCATCCCCAACCTATCCGAGCGGCTGTCACGTGAGCTGAAGAAACACATCAAGGTGTGTATAATTTTAGGGGTACATATATCTTCACGCATTTACACAGCGTTCCTCATAATTACACTGCCAGGCCTTTAGATTCACTTGACAGTTGAGGACCACGAGCTTTCAATATAAATGATATGGTTAATGAGATCAGCTTTGAAAAGGGACAACCAGTGATCGTAGGATTTCGAAACACAAACCCTACACACCCAAACATTGCACGTGGACTATGGAATTCATTCAACAAGGATTATTCTTGATTTTGATACTTTTCTTAATCCCCCACAGTAACACATAAACAATCTCTTTGTGTTGTTGTTGATTTAATGATCTACTTATTCATCAGACTGGAAATGCGTAGGTCGCAGTAAGTCAACAACACAGGTCAAAAAGTCGATGAATCTCAAACTTGGCTCCATGAAATGGATCCCAGAGAGTCAACCAATTCGTGGTTCATTTCACAGTGCTTAGACGTTGTCTGCATTTGTCTCATCATTTTTTTCTCTGCGACCACGTGTTGTAGAAATTGTTACCGGAACTGAAGGAGGATGTGCGCCGCAAACTCCTTGAGACAGAGAAGCAGTTGCATGATCTCGGAGAAGATCCTCCACAAACAGCCTCAGAGAAGCGTCAGATGGCTCTGCAGGTACATCAGAGAATGGGGATTAACTGCACTCGTAACAATATTCCTGCCATACAAGATAAATTGAGCTTTGTAATTCAGGAATACACATAAACAAATATTAATAACGAAATAGCCACCTGAAAGGGACAATGCTGTGGAAGGCGTTCCATATACAGTCGGATTTACTACATTTAGCTCAAATGGTGTATATACGTAATCTTATAAGTGTAACTAGATTGTTCAGTAAAACAATTTCCTTTATGAAGGAGATACTTTGACAGATGGTTACCGAGTTTATCAACATAGTCACTGCCTTGACGACTGGACAACGCTGTGATGACACCAAGTTTCCACCAATAATTAACAATCTCTATAGCGATGCTAGACGGTCTTTCACAGAGCTTATCAAAACCGCAGAAGAGAGACAACCGGGTATGTAGATTGCACAATTTGACGTTTAAAAACGTTTAAAAATATTTCACATACACGTGAAGATACGTGTTAGAATTGGTCTTCAGTAACCCATGTTTGTCGTAAAAGGCGACTAACGAGATTGGTTGACTTGGTTGACACGTCATTGTATCCCAGTTGCGTAGAATGATGTTCATGATGTTGATCACTGGATTCATTATTTTAGAGACATATGGCTGGAATATTGCTGAGTGCGGCGTTGATCAACAGACCATCCAATTACATAATAGCCGGGCAGAGTTCTATAAAAGTTCAGGGCGCAGATTTTCGAAGCTCTCTTAGCGCCAGAATCGTCGTAAGTTAATGATAATGTATGGCACTTTGCGACTATCTCAGCGCTAAGAGTGCTTCGAAAATCTAGGCCCTGCTCAAGGTTACTCAGGTATGAATACATTCCACAACTGTTCTTTTAAGTAAACAAATAGAAAAACACACACACCAAAGCCCTTGCCTTTGTAAGTGCATTTATGTATCATTTGGGAGATTTTCGTTTGTGGAAAAAGCTCTTGTTATGATATTTGTCCCGAAGTTCATCAACATGGGCACATCTGTGTTACGGACAAGTTAATGAACAACTCCCTCGAAGAGACAGATACATATATTTCTTAAAGGGTGTCGTCCATGCACGAGGTGTCTATGTGAATCACGCCGATGCAGCCCGCTTGCCCGCCAGTCAAACACTGTGTATCTTGCATTAACTTGGCTAGACCAATCGAAACATGTGTCCTTTGATTATATTTGTTTAGGAAATTCTCGTGTGTCTATTCAAATGGTAAGTTTAACCTCGGGGAGGAATACAGGGACAGGCATATGTATTTATATATTTGTTTTCTAGATACCAAAAATCACAAATTGAGGACCGACCTTCAAAAGAGGATGGAAGCTTCCCGAGGTCGGGAGTTTTGTAATTTTCTGGGCAAATTTGAGCTGGTGGAAAGTTGTGCTCGGGAATACATCTCCAAACTGGAAGCACCTGCACTTCAATGCTTCAGAGACGTCCACAGTGGGACGACCGAAATCCTGAAGATTGTAGCTGAAAAATGTTTCGAGAAATTTCCAGATTTTGCACAGAGCTAAGGTGTTTAACACATTACTGATTGTAATTCATTCTCTACCGCATGGTTACAAGATATTCGAGTAAGCTTAATTTTTTGGTACAGGACGTATGTTGTAATGTCATGTTGATAATAATGTTCAAGACATGTTCACTATTCATTGACCAAATAATCCTTGTTCTGTTTGAACAGTCGGAATTGTATCTCATCTGTTTGCCTTCACGGAGGTACGTTGAATGTATGAAATGTGTATCTCATCGGTCTGCCTTCACGGAGGTACGTTGAATGTACGAAATGTGTGTCTCATCGGTTTGCCTTCACGGAGGTATGTTGAATGTACGAAATGTGTGTCGCATCAGTTTGTCTTCACGGAACATTTAGGTTGGATGTACGAAATGAATGTCTCATCGGTCTGCCTTTCACGGAGGTACGTTGAATGTACGAAATGTGTGTCTCGTCGGTTTGCCTTCACGGAGGTACGTTGAATGTACGAAATGTGTGTCGTCGCATCAGCTTTTGCCTTCACGGAGGTAGGTTGGATGTACGAAATGAATGTCTCATCGGTCTGCCTTCACGGAGGTACGTTGAATGTACGAAATGTGTGTCTCGTCGGTTTGCCTTCACGGAGGTATGTTGAATGTACGAAATGTGTGTCGTATCGGTTTGCCTTTCACGGAGGTAGGTTGAATGTACGAAATGTATATCTCATCGGTCTGCCTTCACGGAGGTACGCTGAATGTATGAAGTGTGTGTCTCATCGGTTTGCCTTCACGGAGGTACGTTGAATGTACGAAATGTGTGCCCCCATCGGTCTGCCTTCACGGAGGTACGTTGAATGTACGAAATGTGTGCATCATCGGTTTGCCTTCATGGAGGTACGTTGAATGTATGAAGTGTGTGTCTCATCGGTTTGCCTGCATGGAGGTAAGTTGAATGTATGAAAAGTGCGTCTCATGGGTTTTGCCTTCACGGAGATACGTTGAATGTACTAAAATGTGTGCATCATCGGTTTGCCTTCACGGAGGTACGTTGAATGTATGAAGTGTGTCTCATCGGTTTTGCCTGCATGGAGGTTAGTTGCATGTATGAAGTGTGTGTCTCATCGGTCTGCCTTCATGGAGGTACGTTGAATGTATGGAATGTGTGTCTCACTAGTTTGCCTTCACGGAGGTACGTTGAGTGTACGAAATGTGTGCCTCATTGATAGTCTTCACAAAGGAACAATTACGTTGAATGTACGAAATGTATGTCTCATCGGTTTGCCTTCACGGAGGTACGTTGAATGTATGAAATGTGAGTCTCGACGGTTTGCGTTCACCGAGATACGTTGAATGTGAAGGAAATGTACGCACACACTATAAACACGAGGTGAGCGATATAAAGCATCATGTTGTACCATCTTTATCATGAATATATTCATCCAGTCAATTTCGTTTTTCTGTCCTATCATATTAGACTTAACTTTACAATTTGTCATGCAGATTCACAAAATAGATTCTGCATGTGTCACATTAGCAATCGTGTCTGAAATATGCAAACGTTCCTCTAAACCGAGCCATCTGCATTGCACGAATTATGTGTGTTTGTTGTTATTTTACGTCACTGTCAGCAATATTTTATCTGGATTTTGTCGCCAAAGACATATATCCAAGTGAGATAATTCCGTGGACATACAACTTTCTCTATATTTGATTGGTAGAAGCTTATACAAGGTGAAATGTGTAAACACATAAAATATGAAGCCTAATTGATGTACATTGAAGCCCAATTGAGTTTAACAAGCAAGTAGTATATACAATGGGGGTTCTGGATCACTTTCAACCAAAGCCTCTGCAAAGCCTTATTTCACAAGTAAGGCTTTGGTCGGACCTTTAGCTCTTGCTACCATTACCCCTACTACAAAAGTTGGGGGATGCGAACGCACCTCCTAGCCGCGCTACCGGGGGCATGGGGGAAGTAATGGGACACCGCTATGCCGTGTTGACTGGAGGTAACACTGTACCGTACGGTACGATCAATAATTCTTCTCTCACAAACCCCCTACCTGGCCCATCCCTCAAGTAGTACAAGTTAGGCTCGTCTGCTTTGATGTCCACTTTATCTATGTTGTAAGTTTTGACTGACCATATAGGATCGGTGGCTCGCCTACGGCTATCACCCTCGTGTTCCCCCGGCTGGTATAGATACCTCACTAGGGCCCTATCTGGTATCTGTTTCTCCTTCCCACGCAATGGAGCAGCCGGCTCTGCAACTATTGATTTTAGTTTGATAGCGTCTGCCGGTTTCTTATCAGTGAGCCGGGTGACTTCATGGTTGATTGCCGACACCACCTTGGGTAACCTCGCGACCCATTCAGTCGATCGTTTTCCCGGGGTTGCCATCTCCCTCGCATACTGATGTCCGAATAAGCGCTCTGCCAAAGTCCTATTAAATCTCTCAACTATGGCTTGGCTGCGATGGGCTCCAGCCGTGCCACGCCTGACCTTTGTATCGTGTTTGGCTAGCAGTTGTGACCGTCACCCATGAACTCCCGTCCGGGGTCAACTTGCAGCTCTGTTGGCCACGTCAGCGGACTGCGTTTGTATATGCGTTCGAATCCTCTGGCTACCTGGGCCGAATCTTTCGCGGTCAAGGGTTCGGCTTCCTTGTAGCGACTGGCTACGTCCACTACGGTTAAGGCATACTTGTACCTCTTGTCGTGGGGTAGGAACAGTAGGTCTGCCTGGTGAACGCTATTAGGTATGTTAATACCGAACCTCCTTCTAGGCACGTAGCGTGGTGCCGGCAAATAGATCTGCCACAGGGCTTGTTTTTCAAGCCACGCTTTGGCCTCCTCCGGGGGTACTCGCGCCATTTTAGCTAGCTTATCTACAGCGCTAGCTCCTTTCCAGTACCCACGCGGGCTGTAGTAAATAGCCTCAAACTTTCTTTGGTTCCGTGACATGTCGTCCCGATATTTATATCTATGTTCTTGGTTCAATTTTCTCATGTCCATACGCGTACGTGTTTATCCCATCAATAGCTATCCAACGTTTAGTGTCCATAGGCGACAGGGACGTCTTGTTTATAGTCAGTCCGTATATCTTATGCCCATCACTTCTAAGTGTGTTCATTTTATGCCTAAAGGTACGGGTCTTGAACAGGGCTTCCTTGAATCTGGCGTGTTTGATGTGTTGTTTCACCACATACTTCTTAACACCCTTAGCCTTCCGGATTTCACCATTGTCGGCCTTCAGTATGGAGTACATCTTAGGCCTCAACCCTATGTACTCGGCTATGGGCGTGCCAGCACACTCGTCCTTCATCTTACCTAGGACCTTTTTATTTACCGTACTGTGTATGGCATGGCCCTTAGGGTAGTCGCTGGTGTCATACAAATCGAGGTGTTTTTTCATGTCAACGTACACGTCCTCGGTTCGAGATCTCCATCAGCAGGAATCCGTGTCAGTGTACAGAACTTCACACCTGTCGTCGTACTGTTTCTTGAGCTCGTTGTAGTAAAAGTCGTACATCAGGTGTTTGGATAAAATCGAGGATGCTTATCCCCACGTAAACAGGCCGGTTGGAATTTTTATGTGGCTTTTCTTCATATGGCCAGGGGCAACTAGGTCATCGGTGAATATTTTGCTACGGTTGAATGCGGACTGGCTATCAGTCTCCTGAGCTTGTCTTCCTCATTCGACCGAACCAGCTTCGCGGTCACGCGTTTCCTCAGGTTCTCCATAGTCTTACCAAACACCGGAGTTGTTCATGAGCTTATAGAGATTTTTCTCAAAGTCACTGGTGGCAAGCTTTTTGGAGGTCTGTGTTCATTCACGATGTAAGGCTCCATCCAGGGGCTCTGGGTGAACACGAGCACCCTGTGTATTTTGGTCAGCCTCATACCCAACGACAGGATTTACAGCTGTAGGTTGCGATAGTGAACGATGCTGCTTTGGTCTTATTCATTGTTAAGTTGGGAACAGGTTTTCAACGTCTGTCTGCGCCCACCTAACAGAGTTATGTTGGTACTCAGACATCCAGTCTGGGTTAACCCTCATCACGTTCAGGGGCCAGGGGGTAGCTGTTGTGTGATGTGTGTAATGCCTTAGGGTATTCCAAGTCAACCTCGAGGATATAACCTTTATTCGAATCTGGTGCGATGCTCATAACATCGACCTCCTGTGACGCCATTCAGAACCCCCTGTGGGTAGATACTGGCTCATGGCCCAACATACAGGTTGTTGGCGTCGAGGGTAAGTAGAGAATGTGATTGGTTGGCTTGCTAGGGTCGTAGCCCTTAACGTATTGATTATTTGCTTTCGCGTATCGCTTGGTTGCCATGGAGATCCCACCTCGCAAGCCTTTCTCAATGAATAGGTGCATAATCATAATCTGTAAGCAATTCCAACTTAACTCCGGTCTTTTTAAACCCAAGGCATCCCCGACAGACCTGGGCTGGTGTAATACCATGCGGGGTCAGAGTTTATACTGCTTGAAACACGTCCGCCTAAACGTCTCAAACACGTCGGCTAACAGCAGTACATCTGTCCTCAAGTACAGGTCATGATAATCCCCAGGTTCACCCTGGCCCAGTTTATTCCATACATTAATAGCATGTGAGGTAATCATCTTGGGATATTTCCGAGTCTGTCAGATTGCTGTAAAATTCTCTGATGGGGGTAGTCTGGTCTCAGCGAACTTGGGCCAACTATCCATCAATACTCATAGGGGTACACACCCTTCCTCATAAGCAGGGAGTCTAGTCTCGGTGTCTGTGTATCGGTCGGTGATAGGAAGGTATCGTTGGCGCTTGACCAGACTGTCTAATGAAGACAATAGAAATTGTACTGAATCTATGAACCTAAGGCCGTTTAAGCTGAAGGAGATGTATCTCTCCATGTTGTTGGGGATGCACGTTATATTACCATCGATTTTTCGCGATTGCCTGCATGATTAAGTGAGAGTCAGTACCCTCTCAAGTTGTGAAAGACAGCAGGGATGTTTATTGTCTTAGGGTTGATTCTAAGCTTGAGGTTACACG